CGAAAAGTAGAACAGTGCGAAACAATGCGAAGAGTGCGAAACGCAGGAAAGTAGAAACGTGCGAAAAGCGTCCACAAGTGTGAGACATCGAAAAGTGCGAAAAAAGTAGGAAAGTAGAAAAGCGCGAAAAGTGCAAAAAGTGCGAACAGTAGAAACGTAGAAAAGTACGACGAAAAGTGCGAAAAGTTCGAAATGTGTGAAAAGTAGAAAAGTGTGAAAAGTAGAAAAGCGCGAAACGTGCGAACGTGCGAAACGTAGAAAAGTGCGAAAAGTAGAAAAGCAGAAAAGTGCGAGCATGTACAACAAAAAGTGTGAGAAGGACGAAATGTGCGAGAAGCACGAAGCAACACAGCGCAACAAATTGAGAAACGCTAATAGGTGCGAAAAACAAGAAAGTCGAACCCTGATAAAACGGGGAACGTGCGTTTGAAACTTGCGATAATAACGAAAGGCAGCAAAGCGGGACTTGCGCGATAAGAGCGAACGTGGAATGAGAAACGCTTTAGGAAGGAACCGCGTGTTTAACAGCGCAACTTCGAATCGCGCGAATGGTTCAACATATTCTAAAAGAAAAGCAACGAAGCGGCAGCAGGGGCAGGAAGATGAGGCGTGGCCGTGTTCCACACGTGTTTTTCCTTCGTTTCGCTTGTCCTCGCATGGAGCACGCTTGTTTTTCTTGTCTTTGCTTTTTCTACATGTTTCGCAATAGTTGCCGAGCGCGTTCAAAAACCTCGATCCTCGATCCTCGATCCTCGATCTTCCAAGTGGTTTTCGGACCGTGCGTAACTCGGGCCTCCAGCGGAAGTTTGTCGCAGGCCTAGAGATTGACACCAACACCAATATCGGCGGTGTGCATCCACCGATGGAAGGAGAATCCGATATCGGTGATGGTGGTAATATTCTGGCTTACAAGGTGACCGAAATATTACCACCAACGCCGAAATCTAGGATCATCTTCCCCCTGTGGAGGCAAACCCCTCTATTGGTGTTGGTGCCCATTTCCAGGCTTCCAAGTTTGGGATGATATTGGGCGCCCCCGAAACCTCAGTGCGCAGCGCGAGAAGGAGGACCAGTTCGAAACGCGCGAATGGTTCAACATATTCTACAAAAAAACATTAGAGAGCGGCAGGAGGGGCAGATGATGAGGCGTGGCCGTGTTCCACTTGCGTTTTTCCTGCGTTCCGCTTGTCCTCGCATGGAGCCGTTTTTTTTTTTTTTTTTTTTTTTTTTTTTTTTTGTTTTTCCCCCCCAAAGTTTTTCGCAATAGTTGCCGAGAGCGTTCAACAACCTCGATCCTCGATCCTCGAACCTCGCTCGATCTTCCCAGTGGTTTTCGGGCCGTGCGTAACTCAGGCTTCCGGCGAGAGTTCGGGATGATTTGGGCGCCCCCGAAATCTTTCGATGAGACGCAGCTGCTGGAAAGCATCCGCCCCGCATGCGACGCGGCAGGCAGCGTGCGTTGTGAAGCGTACTTCGTTTCGGGTGTCTCTTGGCATCGGCTGCGTGCTCCATTTTCTCCTCCAGTTCCCCTATCAGCTCCTTCCTGCCGCCTCCCCGCTCCCCCTCGTTTCTCCCCCTCCTCTCATTTCTACCCTTGCCCGCTTCCTTCCACTCTGCTCCTATCCCCATTCGCCGCATGCCCCCGCAAACCTCCGCACTCCTCCCGCGCCTCCCCATTCTATTCCAATCCCCTTCTCCCCTCCGCGCTCCTCCCCACTGTTGCCCACTCCTCCCCGCTCCTCTCCTTTCGTCTCCGTGCTCCCAACTTCAATCCGCTCCGTCCCACTATTTCACTTTCCTTTCCATCCCCCCCCGCTCCTTTCAACTCCTCCCCACTCGTTCCCTTTCGTTTGCATCATTCCGCTCCATTGTACTTCTCGTCAATCCTTCGCGCTCCTCCCATTTCGCCGCCCCCCGCGTTCCTCCCAACTCCTTCCCGTTCATTCCCATCCCGGTCAATTCCATTACCCCCCGCTCCTTGGCCGCTCTCGCGCTCCTCCTCGCCTCGCTCTGCTCGACTCCACTTCTCTCCCCTATCCTCCCCGCTCATCCACACTCGCCCCTGTGCACTCCGTGCCTCATTCCTCGCCGCTCTGCTCTAATCTCCCCCGCCCCTCCTTGCCCCACCCTTTTACATGCATATGCGCGCCGTTTCTCAGCGATCATGATAAGGAGAATGACAAGTTGGGCTTTGGGGCTATGTTGTGGTGAGGGGTTCTTCGAGGACTCGTGATGCCTTCTTGGCGCCATCTTGGGGTCTTCTTGGGGTCCTCTGGGGGCCCTCTTGACACTCTTTGGAGGGGTCCAGGGAGCCCTTTTGGTGCTTTTAGAGGAGCTCTGGGAGCGCCTCTTGGGGCAATCCTGGGCCCCACTGTTCAAAAGCAGGTCGGCGGCTGCAATTCAGGCCCCCACCCCTCCGAGGCTCAAAAACAGCGTCTTGGGGCCCTCTTGCGGCGCTCTTGGAACGCTCCTGGGAGCTCTTGGAGCCGTCTTGGGGCCCTCTTGGGGCCAACTTGAGGCCTCAAGAGCCCCGCGTCAGCGAAAAAGCGAGAAGGCAACACACATATGTTTTCTGTTGGTTTTTGACAAGTTTGGGCCTCTTGGGGGGATCCTCGGAGGGCTCGGAGGGCACTCGGAACCGTCTTGGGGCCGTTTTGGAGCCTTTTGGAGACATTTCGGAGACTGTCTTGGGCCATCTTGAGGTATATTGAGCCATCTTGGAGGCCATCTTGGCCTTTCCGAGACCCTCTTGGGACATCTTGGGCCGAAAAGAACGCTCTGACACCTCGCGCGGGAGCCCGTCCAGACCCATGGAGGAGGGATGGTAAAACCTCCTGAGCAGGGGGGGGAAAGAGGTTGGAAAAGGAAACGCCCTAGACCACCTGCGCCCTGGAGGGCTGGTGGGACATACTTCCGCTTTGGATGCGTTTCTGGTCTTCATGTTTTTCGCCCGGCTATTGCGCGCGTCCCGTGTTCTCGGTATTCTGTGGTTCGCGTTTCTCGCGGTCGCGTGTGTTTTACATGTTTTCCGCTGTTCGTGTTTCTCATATTCGTTTCCGCGCGTTGCGGCTCCCATGTCAGGAAAGCAGAAGAGGAGGAAGGATAACGGGGTATTCCGTGACATGTAAATCCTCGCTTTCCTCTCTCCGGATTCTATTGGTTTTGCAATGTTAGCAGGATTGTCTGCCAAGTTTCTCGTTGCTGAATTTCTCACAAGGAATTGACTTCTCAGCGTTCTGCAGGCTTCCGCGTCTCGGTCTTCCGATTTGTCGTGTTACTGTGTCCGCGTATTTTCACATTTGTTTCGCTGTTCTCGCTTTTCTCCACCGACGGCGACTTGTTGTCTAAACTTTTCGCGTTTGTTGCGCGTTTCGTATTTTTTGTTGCACCTTTCGCGCGCCATTCGAACACTTCTCGCTCTTCGGCCTCTTGTGCGCATCGCTGTGTCCATTTTCGCTCTTCTCTCGCTTTTCGCAC